AAACCCTATAGGGGTTGCTATGGGTCGGAACCAACTCAAGAGAAAGAGAAGAGTTCTGGTGTGCAACTGCGGGATGATGGATTGGACAACAAGGTCAGTTTGAACTGCAAGGCTGGCTGTTCAAATTCTCCAGTGGGGCCTGGAAATTCCTGTGACTATAAAGGAGTATCACAAGAGCCTTAGAGTTGATGCAATCAATGGTTCTGCATATTGATTGTGATGCTGGTTTCACTAATCAGCACATGTGATAAGATGACATGAAACTATGCACATATTTTACCAGTGTCAAATTCCTGGTTTTGATATTGTACTTTTCTTGTGTTAAGATGGAACCAATAGCTTTTTTCAACCAGCCATTGGAGGGTGTCGAAGAGAAGAAAAGGAAGGTTCAAGCTATGCCAGAGACCCTTAAAAAAAGCAAAGGAATTTCTCAGAACTAAAGATCAAGCATCTGAGAAAGAAGTTTGCCCAAAAGATGCTTCAAAAAGCAAGGAGGAAGCTTATCTATAAAAAGGCCAAGCACTTTCACAAGGACTATAGGCAGATGGACAGATACGAATGGCTAGGATGGCCAGAAAAATGGACAACTTCTCTGTACTTGGAGAGCCCAAGCTGGCATTTGTTATCAGGACCAGAGATATCAATGGTGGGAGCACAAAGGTTCAAAATGTGTTGCAGGTTCTTCGCCTTCACCAGCTCTTCAATGGCACCTTTGTTAAGCCCAACAATGCTTCAATTAATATGCTGAGGATTGTGGAACCATGTATTACATGGGTACACCCAAACCTAAAATCAATGAACGAACCGATGTACAAGTGAGGTTATGGCAAAATCAATAAGAAGTGAATTGTTCTGACAGACAACACCTTGATTCTCTTGGTAAAATAGCATCATCTACATGAAGGAGCTGAGTCATGAGATCTACAACGTTTCAAAGAAGTAAATAACTTCCTGTGGTCCTTCAAATTATATTTTCCTTGCAGCAGAATGAAGAAAAAGACCACCCATTTTGTAGAAGGTGGAGATGTTGGCAATGGAAGATCAGATCAACAGGCTTATGATAAACTAAAGTGTCTACCATGATTATTTTTATAATCTGGTCAGCTAATAAAACAGCAAATGTTCTCAAATTGAAATTGTTGTTTTGGCAAACTTTTGTTAGCCTGTCCTTTCCCCTTTCATTCTTATGATAAATATTGGTGTGTAATAAAATTTAGCCAGATCAACCAAAAAAAAAAGTTGTAACCAACAGGGTAACTGGATGACGTGTACATGAGACCACTCTGCTCTGTCTTTGCAACTTCCCGTAAATTTATAATTATTTCAAAATTAAAAGTTGAAAAAAACAAAACAAAACACAGGAAAAGGTACGCACTTTTAAAAAGCATTGCATTCAGAATAGCAAATTATCCTCCAGGAAAGCTGGAGGCTCTTCCAGTTACCTCTCTCCCACAAGCTTCCTTTCTCCACCAGTATGTTAAAACCTCATACACCAGATTGCTATCCAGGCTGGGTAGCCCCATTCCTTTTATTCTTTGCCAATCTGATAAATGAAGATTGTATCGTATTTATACTTCTTTGATTAATGGTGAGAGAGAACACTGTATCCTAACCCGAAGGTCATCTGATTTCCTGTCTGGCACCCATTTTTCCAATGGACTGGTGATTTTACCTTATTGATTTACAAACACTTGAAAACATTTGTAAGCATTTATGTAATGAATTTATTAATGTGCTCTCCTTCACATATATTGGGGATATTTTTTTCCCCTCAAGGCCAGTGTCCTTCCAACTTTTTCAGGGATTCTAGGAAGTCCATTCTTTAATATTTTAAAATTCTATAGTATTAGTAGGGAGTCCTGCTATGGTGCTGTGGGCTAATGTATTGAAATGAAGAGTCAGTTTGAACTTCAAGGTCAGCAGTTCAAGCTCACCAGTCGCTTCTTGGAAACTCTATACAGAGTCATTGTGAGTTGGAAGTGACTTGACATCTCCTAACAATAATAGTATTAGGAAAGTCTTTACAATGTCAACTCTCTTGCAATGACTTTGCTACAGTGTCTGGGGCCTGAGTTCGCATCTAGACACTCCCCTCCACTCAGGTGACCTGGAAATAGTCTTCATGGACCAAAGAGGGTTTACCACTATTTACATGGGGCCCAAATACTGATTGCACTGATGAGTGCTGAGTGTTCATGGGGGTGTATGGGGTGAGGATGTGGTTTGAACTCTATGGTCCTCACGCCCCAATTAGGCCCCAGAAATCCTTGTCACCTGCTATTGGCTAGCACAGGCTTGGACAAGACTCTGCCAGGGTACTAAAAGGCCGCAGATGTGCATGAGGACCTCAGACCCATCAAGACCTGCAAACATTAATCATGACTGGACTGTTACAGTCCTCCTTTCTTTTCCCCCTCATTCTAGCTGGCTTCGTGCAGCCAGATCCCAAGCTTGAAAAGATGAAGGTAAGTGACTTGCAAAGAGAGTGGTTATTGTTGCTATGTTCCGACCCATAGCAACCCTGTATAGGGTTTCCAAGGAGGGCCTGTGAGCTTGAATTTTGTGGTTCAAACCGACTTTGCAGTCCAGTGCATTAACCCACAGAGCCACACCAGAAGAGGGGTTCAAACCTGGAATTATCCTTCTGTCTTGCTTCTAGATTTGCTCTCCAACCCTTTCTATAAGTCTGGGACTTCTGCTTTCTTTATTGAAAGTTCTGCTAAACCTTCCTTCTTTCTTTTTTACACCTATAAAAGGGGTGTTTATTGAGTTGAATATGGGTATAGGGAAGAAAGCTCCTTACTCTTTCTTTGGTCTGGTCTCGCTTCCTCATCTGTAGGCTGAATGGCTACCATGCCAGTCACATCAGTGTCTGAGTCAGAGCTGGGTCTGAGGCATTAGAAAGAGACAGGTATCAAGGGGGATAATTATAATCAGTGTTTGAAGGAGAAGCTGAGTAAGCACCACCATCTCAGAGAGCAGATCAGTGGGAAACCTACCAAGAAGTGGTAAAGCAAATCTGCAGGTTTTAGAAATTGAGAAAATCAGAAAGTTACCAGAGAAGCATAAAACACATGGAAAAATATGTCCAGAGGCCTCAAACAACTCAGTTTAAAGTCAGGAGTCTTAGATTCTAGTCTCAGTTCTATTATCAAGACTGCTCAGGTGACTTCTTTTAAAAATGTGTGTATGAGGGTAAGTCAAAAAGTAATGCTACAAAATCATAGACACCTTTATTAAACAAAAATATAGAAATATGAAGCTCTTGCTTGTTGACATATCCTTCAACTAGGTCTATACCTATATCTATATTCCTTTTAAATGTTATTTCCGTTTGGGCAACAAATAAATCTGAAGAGGCAAGATCAGGGTTGTAGGATAGAGGGATAAGTTTTCCCAATGAAATTCTCATAGGACAGCCTTGCTACTCTCCAAGAATTAGCCAGTCCATTTTTGTGATGGGGAAAAAAAATCCTCACCCCAAATCTTTCTCCAATGCAGCTTTCAATTTTCTTAAAACTTCTTCCTAATAAGTTCCCATGATCATCCTGTGTTCTTAAAGAAAATCTATCAAGATTAGCCCTTTGGAATCCTAAGGAAAAGTTACCATCACTTTTTGAGCTCATCTCTCTGTCTCAAATTTAACTGGCTCAGCAGATCCCTTCTAAAGCCACTGTTTTGGTTAGACCTTTTTGTGAAGGCACCTTAATAAGACTAAGACAAGTGTATTACTGGGGGAAGTTGTCTGCAGCCATCCACAGATCACAGAGACATAATTAAACATGTTTTGTTTGGAAGAAACTTAAGTATATATGAACTGGAACCTTAGTAGCAATACAGCTTGACTTATCCTGGTAATGGGAAGAAAGTGCAGGTAAGAATAACAATGAATGTGGTGACTTAGAGACAAAAAAAAAAAAAAGAGAGAGTTAATGAACTAGGGCCAGGAAAACTTTCATTCACATACTGGATTATCACTTTTGACTACGGACTTCACCTCTGTTAGCTTTAGTTTTCTCTTTTCAAATTTGCGGTTAGCAGTCTCTACCTTACGCATTTGTGAGAAACATTATACATATAATGTTTTCTACAAAAAGCAGCTCTGCCAGGATCCACTCCTCAGAAATTGATTAGGTAACCTACAAAATGATTTTTTGGTTTTTGAGAATTGATATGACTTTTATGTTACCCAGTGTTTCTTAATTGTGTTAGAGACTTTTGGCTGTAGAATTCACTTAATAAAAAGCATAAAAGGCAACTTGTTTTTCTCTTTACCTTACTTCCAAGTCCTCTTATCCCAGCTCTGCCCTTTTTTGTTCATAGGAAGAGTAACTTGACTTGCTTTTTGTTCAAAAAACCTCATTGAATCTCGAGTCCAAAGTCTAAATTTCAGTCCTGTCATTGACATCTTAGGCAATTTTTACTTTCTGAGTCTTACTTAATACATGTACTATTTCTTTGAGGCCTTTGAAAGGTTACATAGATGTTAAAAATTATTGTTACTATTTTGAATGTGGGACTCATGATTTGTTCTATAAACCTTCACTTAATTCAAAATCTAAGTTTTTTTAAAAAAAAAGAATTATAATTACTGATGTTATCATCATTTAAAATTTTTTCCAGATGAATTGCTCCAAAGACGTGAAGAGCACCATCTATGACTATGGGGCCCTCACTCTTAATGGAGGGGAACATATCCATTTCAAGAAGTATGCAGGCAAACATGTCCTCTTTGTCAATGTTGCCACCTATTGTGGTCTTACAGCACAATATCCTGGTAAGATTAATCCCCAACTCTCTTGGGACTAGATTTGTCATTAGATTATATTCTAAATAATAACTAGGATTTTATTTTTTTTTAATGATGTATTAAAATAAATATTCATGATCATGTGATTTCATCTCCCTATATTAAGAGTCAGCAAACTATTGCTCACAGTCTCACTAGAGTTTTTTCTTCCCTAGGCCTGTTTCCTCAACTAGAAAATAGATAACTCTAGAAATCTGTCTCTGTATAAGGCAGGGTCTCGTGTTGCCTCTTTTCTACCTGCAGAACTAAATGCACTTCAGGAGGAGCTGAAGTCCTCTGGTCTGGTCATATTGGGCTTTCCTTGCAACCAATTTGGAAAGCAAGAACCAGGAGAGAACTCAGAGATCCTTCCTGGACTCCAGTGAGTAACTGTTTGAAATCATGTAGGAGGGTGGGTTGTGGGTGATGTGCCATGGAGTCAGTTCCGACTCATAGTGACCCTGCCAAGGGTTTCCGAGGTTGTAAATTTTTACATGGGAGCAGAAAGCCTCATCTTTCTCTCAAGGAACAGTTGATTTTTTCAAACTGCTGACATTGAAGTTAGCAGCCCCCTCGTAACCACTAAGCTCCCAGATCTCCTTACATAGGAGAGTACTGCCTACTTTTTCCATGTTTGGGAACTTCTGGGGTAAGGTGGAGTGGTGTGTGGTGATGGTGCATCAGTATGTTCAGACCATCCACAGTAGATATTAACTTTGGCTTACCTGAATGAGAATCTGGAGCCCTGATGGCACTGTAGAATAAGCATTGGACTGCTAACTGCAAGGTTGGCAGTTCAAACCCACCAGTTGCTCCTTGGAAACCATATACAGGGTCACTATGAGTCGAAACCGACTCGATGGCACTTAACAACAGCAATGACGGTCTAGCAGTGTCTAAGGACTCTCTGTCCCTATTTGGGTACTGAGAACTGCTGGTGCTTGTGGAGAAGCAGGAGCACAAAAATCACTGGTGCAGAAATAGTGAGTGGGGCAAGGAAAGAGAGTGTAATTGAGAGTGAATTATACAACTCAAAGTCAAAATATGGTCATGTTTTCCTTCCCCATCAATCCCCTTTCCCATGTCCTAAAATCATAGTATCCCAATGTACATTTCTCCTTCATATTCTGGAGCTTCCTGGGAACATTATGACTCATTGCAGGTATGTCCGTCCAGGGGGTGGATATATACCTAATTTCCAGCTTTTTGAAAAAGGGGATGTGAATGGCGAAAATGAACAGAAAGTCTTCACCTTCTTGAAGGTGAGTGAACAACTGATCTAAGCCCCCTCTTCCCTAATAGTCCCAGCATCGAGTTGGTGTGGTAGAAATGGGCTCAAGGGCTTATTCCTAAAGGTGGGACCTGGCATGTAGAGAAGAGCTTTCATAGCAGCATAGGGTTCTGAGTTTCATCTGTTAATATTTTGGGGTCTCTGGCTTCTTGTGGTAAAGAGCTGTGTAGAATAGCAGATGTTACTATGATCAACTGCTCTTACTCATTAATATTTTCTAATTCACTTAAGATACATTTATTGAGTGCCTACTGTTACAAGGCAGGTAGCTAAATAATAAGAAAAATATGAACACGATATAGTTTGTACTCTTGGCAAGTTCAAGCTGGAAAGGAAGACACAGAAATCAACAGGTATAATAAATATAGTAAGTGCATTATATGAAACACTAACCTTTAGATATAGAAAATGCCAGAGCTTAAAAAACCCCAAGTAAATTGTTACTAAATGTCAAAATCTAGGCCAAGAATGGTCCATTTTGAGATTTTCATATATTCTCTTTAAATTGAGGAAAAGAGGACAGTGTAAGGAGCAACCCAATGTGTCTAATTTGTAGGGCTGACTTTAATTTAAGATTATGATCTACAGACAATTTATTATTGCAATAATCTTTTGAAATCTAAATGTTGAAGCTATGTTTTAAACATCTTTTCTTATTTAACAAAACAAAGTGTTGGTAACCCTATGTTGGCCCCAAAAGATATTTATTAACTTGTTACTAGCTGATGGTATCCCAAGACTCAGGAAACTACATTTAAATCCAAGCTATTCTTTTTTCGAATAAGCCAACCAAAAGTGAGGATATGTGTGATATAATTTACCCATAGCAGCATATGATGGATAGGGGGAGAAACAGAGGGAATAGACTCTTGTTATGATATCTTTTGTGAGATTCTTGTTTATTGGAATGGTGCCAATTCAGAAAATATATGAGGTTTATTAGGAAATTAAAATATATAAAGATCAGAGGGAGTGGATCATCTGTGGGTGAGAGTAGCCTGGATGACCAGGAGTAGAAGCGATCTTGTCATTTTTTCCCATTTTTTGTTTCAGCGCTCATGCCCTCACCCCTCTGACATTTTGGGTTCATCCAAACACATCTTCTGGGAACCCATGATGGTTCATGATATCCGCTGGAACTTTGAGAAGTTTCTGGTGGGACCTGATGGAATCCCTGTCATGCGCTGGTACCATCGGGCTCCAGTCAGCACAGTCAAAGCAGACATCCTGGAATATCTGAAGAAAATGAAAATTAAATAGGAAGTTCAGAAATGGGGCAAGGAGCCATTCTAAAGTTCTGTTCAAAAAGGATCTGTCTTCCCACAACATTTTCTTCCTAATGGACTCCACTTGATGAAACCACCTCTATATTGTCAATATTTCGAACCTACACAAAGCAGATTTATCTTCTGATGATTACTGTATTTGTTCATGTGAGAGTATGTAGGTGAAGAAATAAAGAATGGAAGCTCTGAGTCCTCAGATCTTCATTAGGAATTTAAAACCTTATTCCATTGAAGGAAAACTATCCTTCCATGAAGATGGTTCAGACTACTGTCTCAATATCCTGAAAGAGATGTCTCTAGACACTGACTTCCCCTTCTTTCTCTACTCACAAGATATAGGAATAATACTGGGGTGACAGTCACACTGTCTAAATTCTGCATCATAAAAAATTTTTTTCTCTCTCAGCACAAACATGTATTTATAGTTTCCAACTCATTTTTAAAAAATGTTTTATTGTCAAGTATGTGTTAGTTTACATGGGAGAACATTCGCTTTACATTCATCCTATCGTATATCATTTCATTGCCATGCCAACTCATTTGGTTTTGCCTTCCTCCATGGATCCCCCCAACAGTTGTCATTTCCTGTAGTTACAATGAGAACAGTAAGGCATCTCTTTGGATGACCCCACAGAGCTTTTTTTTTTTTCTTTTCTTTTCTGTCTAATCCTTAGAGCATTAAGGTCATAACCTTTGAGCAGACATGTCTCCACCCTTTGAAAGATAAGCTTTCCCTCTCAGCTCTAGACTACTCATCTTCTAAACCAGCCTTTCCACTAACTCCAATAAAATATCTTCTACAGTGGTTACGAATGGACTGCGAACCTTAAGGTCAGCAGTTCAAAGCTACCAGCTGTTCCTCGGGAGAAAGATGAGGCTTTCTGCTCCTGTAAAGAGTTACAGCCTCAGAAACCCTGTACAGGATCGCTATGAGTGGAACTGACTCCACAGCACATAACCACCACCAACCACAGCATTTGAGACCATTGTTGTGTTTTTAAAATCATATCCTGTGCTTAAACCCATTTACATTCCCTATCTCACTCTATCATCTATACTGTATTACCTAGGAGTCCTGTGGGTCAATGTACTGGACTGCAAAGTCAGTTTGAACCACAAGGGCTCCGGTTCAAGCTCACCAGCCACTCCTTGGAAACCCTATAGAGGATTGCTGTGGGCCAGAACCAACTTGACAGCACTTAACAACAACAATAGCAACCTAGATAACAACCTGCCACTTGTTATTGGTTGAATTATGCTCCCCTAAAATGTGTCGTCAATCCTAACCTCTATGCCTATGATTATAATCCCATTTGGGAATAGGTTGTCTTTGTATGTTAAGGAGATGGATTTGTGTAGGAGTATCTGAAGTGTGGTACTGTAGGATAAGCACTGGACTGCAAGGTTGATTTGAACTGCAAGGTCGGCAGTTCAAACCCACCAGCCACTCCTCAGAAGCCCCATACAGTGTCGCTGTGAGTCGGAACTGACTCGATGGCACTTAACAACAACAACATCTGAAGTCAATCTATTTTGAGATATAAAAATGATTAAACAATGAGCAGAGCAGAGATGAGTTAAGATAGATGCCAAGATACATGCAGATCTCCAAGAAACCAGGAAGCTGAAGAGAGAAGGACCTCTTTCTGAGCTAATAGAGAAAGAAAGCCTTCCCCTAGAGCTGACACTCTGAATTCACTCTGGTTCTGAATCATAGTGAACCTGTATAATATTTCTGACTAGTGACTGGTGGGTTTGAATTACCAACCTTGTGGTTAACCTTCCAGTGTTTGTTTCTACAGTGTCGTCACACCAGGACACATTTAGCCCCTTAAACTATGAGAAAACCAATTTCTTTTTGTATAAGTCACATTCTTGTGGTATTTCTTTTAAAGCAGCACAAGTTGACTCAAAAGAGTGGGGTACAGATCTAACAGTAAAATGAGGACGTGGTTTTGGAATTGGATAATTTACATGCCTATTATTAATCATTTAGAGTACCTTGATGAGACTGTTGGTAGAATTGCAGATGTCAATTCAATTCTGATGAGGACTCAGAAGTGAGGAGGGCTATAGAGAACGCTTCTTTCCTCCTAGAGAATGAATACACATGGTACTAGCAATAGGATGTTGTTAGAAATGTGAACCTTAAATGTGCTTCTGGTGAGGCTTTAAAAGGAAATGATGAGTGCAACAATAGAATGCAGTACATTCATTCAATGGAATACTATAGAAAAGTGAAAGAAAATAAGCAGAGCTACCACAGTCATAACATGGCGTAACCATAACACTGATAATTTAAACAAATAGAATGTCGTGAAAAAGAAGCAAGGCATTGAAAAAGAAATTCAATGTGATTACAAAATTCCATTCATATAATGGCAAAATTACACTGTATTATTTAGGGATGTATAAGTATGTGATAGAGTTGTAAGGAAAAGCAAGGACATTATTACCATGAAAATCCAGAAAAGGGTGACCACTAGAAAGGAGACAAAGTTTTGACTATGAAGGAGCCTAGAGTAGGAGCTGGGGGCTTCTGGGTGGGGGAAAGATGCATGCAGTGTTCTGTTTCTTCACCAGGATATTGATTATTCAATGAATACAATATTTTGAGTTTATTAATTAAATTGTGCATTTATGTTTACTTAAAAAAAAAAAAAAAAATGACTTACAGCCTTGCTCAGAAACCCTGTGCAGTGTCACTATGAGTTGGAACTGATTCCATGGCACATGACCACCAACCACCACCATATGCATGTAAAAGTTGGACAGTGAATAAGGAAGACCATAGAAGAATTGATGCATTTGAGTTATATATATTGTTGGAGGCAAATACTGAAAGTGCCATGGGCTGCCTGAAAAACAAACAAATATGTCTTAGGAGAAGTACAGTCTGAATGCTTCTTAGAAGCTTAGATGGTGAGACTATGTCTCTCATACTTTGGGCATGTTATCAGGAGGAAGCAGTCCCTGGAGAAGGACATCATGCTTGGCAAAGTAGAGGGTGGATGAAAACGATGACCTCCAATGAGATGAATTGACACAGTGGCAGCAGCAGTAGGCTCAAGCATAACAATTGTGAGGATGGCACAGGTCTGGGAAGTGTTTCATTCTGTTGTGCACAGGGATGCTATGAATCTGAAGTGACTTAGCGGCACCTAACAACAAAAACTACATCTTTAAAAAAAATAGAAATTTAAAGTAAAATAATGAATTTTTTTTTTTTTAAAAAGGAAATGATGAATATGGGCTTGGACAATGTAGGAAGGATGATGTTTTTTATGCAATGTCAAAGAACTTGTCTGAATTATGTTCAAATGTTTGTTGGAAGATCTAGCTTGTAAGTGCTTAACTTGGATACTGAGGTGATTTCTAAGCATGATCTTAAAGGAGCTTCATGGTTTCTCCTTGCCACATACAGTAAAATTTGAGAGGAAAGAGATGGCTTAAAATTAACTGTACAAAATGAAAACATGAGAGGTTAAAGATTTGAAAAATTCCATTGTACAAATTAAAGATACGTGTCCTAGATTGTTCACCAAGGATGTGGCTGCACAATCTTTTGTTAAAGAGATTAAACCTGTGACTGATGGATCTAACTAACTAAACCCATACGCTTAGGTTAAGGGGAACAGAAAAAAAAA